TTGGGCCTAGACCCTTCTTCAGAAAAAATGAAAAAATTTTTTCTGAAGTAGGGTCTAGGCCCAAAACGTCAGCCTTCCTGCTCCTCTGATGCTGCTTGGCCTGCTGTGTTCATCCAGCTCTACACCTTGTTATCTCAGATTCTCCAGCATCTGCAGTTTCTACTATCTCCAAGATACTGACAACGTTAAGAGAACAGAGAGGTAGACTTAACCAGCTTATCACCACAGTTAAGTAAGTAATATTATGCAATAAGACTGTGCAGGGAAGAAAAGAACATGTATAAGGTAAAGACTGGGATGTGAGGAGAAAGCCAAAATCACTTACCTGAGATCCATATCCCCATCAGTCCAGTAGCTCATTACATTTGAAATAACTCCTCCAGGACACGAGCCCATCATAATCACAGCAATTGCTGAAAGAGTTTTTAACTTAAAAAAAATTGCAAGGATAAATGCAATGAGAGGCATAAACCCAAATTGACAAACTGTGCCCACAGCTAGTGTCCAGGGTCTTTTTAAGTGAGCCCATAGCTTCTTCAGCTCAATAGTGCAGCCCACGGAAATCATGATCAATATGAGTGCTGCAAGAAATGGTAACCTTACAATCTTCATCGGAATCTCATTATTAGTGTTATTTTGATTCAACCCTACATCACTAGTTGTACTGTGTTCTGGACTGTTTGTGAAATTTTCCATTTTCACTTTTACAGCTAAACAAGTCTGGCAATCTACAGCAGAATGTGACCTTCTATTCTTTTGGATTTAAATGTTATGTGGAAACACCCTGGGGAAATTTCCATGTAAAACTGGAATGTATGTTGGTATTGGACAGAGTAAATTTATTACAAACATGTTACTATTAACCTCTTAAGGACTAAAACAGTTGTATTCCAGATTTACTTCAAAACAAGAATTCGCGTCTGATTAATTAATATAAAAAGAGTATAATCAAGTAGAGAAATGGACTTGTATCAATTATACAAGCCATAGCAATTTTCAACTGTTCATTTGTGTTTCATATGGGGGTGAATCTATAGCAGTTGACTTCATTAATAGTAGCCCTGTATGGCATAATGTTGATGTTCTTGCCAGTTTCTGACGTGTATGTCAGTACAATTTATTTGGCTTGTTAGTGATACCCACATTCCATGAAAGTTTTCAAAAATTGTGTGGGTGTGTCACAGAGTACATGAAAGTTAGTCCTGAGGACTGCTATTTTTCTCATTGATCGGTGAGAGATGCTGGTAGTTTGATTTTTCTTTTCATACCCACAGATGCTGTTGCACACAATTGAGCAACTTCCCAACAACCAAATCACTGTGACTTTTTCATTTTTTTTAAACTACTAACCACCACAAATAAAATACACATGTAGCCAATTAGATGTTTACAAGCAAACTCCAGCCCACAATGGGCAATGCAAACCATCAAAAGTGAAGGTGGAGTTATGGAGAACAATGGGCTAGATCAAAATACAGTTGGAGAGGGGCTGGTAGTTTGTTAAATATGAGTGATGATTAGAAGATATCTCACTGATACTAAGCAACATTAGGTGATCATAAAGTTTCTTCTGACATTGCTGCCATCTGCCAAGTCAGATCAGATTTTACACACTGACATTTGCTGTTGTTATACAAGCACCCATGTGGCACAGTGGTAGTATCCCTTCCTTTAAACCAGAAGGCCTGGGTTTGAGTCCCACCTGCTCCAGAGGTGTACAAATAACATGTCTGAACAGGTTGGTAGGAAAATATCTACAAGGTAATGGTACTGAAAGGATTAATATTCAAGACTGCATAAATCATCTAATAAACTCATTACAGTCTTGATCGGACAGTGAAGAGTCTAGCTTGAAATCAAGATAGGACTAGATGTGTCATCTCTTGCTCATGGTAGTATTAGTAACTGTGTCTAATTAGCCAACATGACTTGTATCTTGTGCTAATATGTAATAAATTACATGTTGTTAAGATAAGTGCTTCTTCTTGTTAAGACTTACTAGTAGTTCATCCTCTATTTAGACTAAATATTTACAGCGGATTGATGGCAATACTGTATTTTAACCATTAGCTGACTGTAGTTAGTTCCACAACATATACATCTCTCAGCCCCTTCTCAGGTTCTGGAGTGAGAGTCTTGTGCTGCCACAGTCCCCACACCTCATCCCCTACAAACCCTAGACAGCATCTGAAAATCATCCCCCATTCTTTGCACGATGTTCAGTCTTCTTTCACTTTGATATTTTCACTATCACTCATTTGTAGCCTTCACCGCTGCAAGGAGGGACTTAACACCTGCTAATCTCTTACATTCTTAGACTCAATGTTGTGCATATAGACACTTTGAAGCACAATTCATTATGCCCTGTGGCTTCCAATTATTTAATTGAAGAAGGACTACTTATATTAATGTGCCAACTGCCTCTATCAGCAGTGACATACCAGGTGGTGTATCATATCCCTTTTAAAAATTGGATTGCTATTTTTATCTTATAAACTTCATTGCCATAAACTGGATCACCGCATTGAAAATGCTGAGCTTTAACACATAATCTTGCCCAGTAACGTGATTAAATTTATACACTGATTAAGCTTTTGTAGGCCATCAACTGGAATTTGGTCAAGAGAATCTCCACTGATCTTAACCGGTGAAGTATTCAACATTTTTTCCTCAAGCTTCAAGACTCAGTAAACAGAAACTCCAGCAAACCCCTGTCCACAGAGGGAGGGATGTCACACTTCTTTTTTAAAAACTTTTCCTTCCCACAGTCAGGACTTCAGTGAACAGCTGGTCACAATCCCTGTGTCTAAGTGCCTGTATCATGACTGAGGAAAATTGAGGGTGCTGAAAAAAAAGGACTGAGTTCTAAATACTTCAAGCATTTCACATTTATGTTTATACTACTGCTTCCTTTTTATGATAAACAACTCACTTTTCACTTCAGAAGGAAGACATGTCATGAGCCATTTATTAGAGCAGCAAACAAACAAGATGGGGCACTAACGGAAGTTGCTGGAAAAGCTCAGTAAGTCCGGCAGCATCTGTGAAGAAAAATCAGAGTTTACTTTTCGGGTCTCGTGACTCTTTCTCAGGTACTGACATTTGCTATTGTTATACAAGCTAATGGTAAGCACCCATGTGGCACAGTGGTAGTGTTCCTTCCTTTAAAATAGGAGGCCCGGGTTTGAGTCCCACCTGCTCCAAAAGTGTACAATAACACGTCTGAACAGGTTGGTAGGAAAGTATCTACAAGGTAATGGTACTGAAACATTCAAGACTGCATAAATCATCTAATGAACTCATTACATTCTTGGTCAGAGAGTGAAGAGTCTAGCTTGAAATCAAGATAGGATCAGATGTGTCATCTCTTGCTCATGGTAGTATTAGTAACTGTGTCTAATTACATGTCTAATAAGCAATAAATTACATATTGTTAAGGTTCTGAGGAAGGATCACCAGACCCGACACGTTAACTCTGATTTTCCTTCACAGATGCTGGCAGACCTGTTGAGCTTTTCCAGAAACTTCTGTTTTTGTTCCTGATTTACAGCATCCGCTGTTCTTTCTGTTTTTGAGATGGGACACGATTCAGATTTAGCTTCCAGCTCGAATTAAACTACTTGGTTAAAGAATCTGCAAATCTCTTCAACTTTTTCACAAAGGAACAAAGAACAGTTTCGTAAACAGACAGTCCACATAGAATTTTACCCCAGGTTTTCCCAATCTTTCATAAATGATCCATGGAGTGTTCACTGGCTGGAGGTGCAACTTCCTCTCCTTCCTCAGATGTGAGTACTGCCACAGAAAGCTTTTGGCCTTTGATTGTTTGACAGCTGTAAATCCCAGCAGCACCACAGTGAGTAGTAGCTATTGTTGGGCCTACAAGCAGTCCCTCTTGGTGGAGACACTGGAGTGGGGAGGGAGAACCCAGTGGGAGACATACAATATGAGAAGGGGCCCAGTGAATGTACATTGTATTCTCTCTAAAACCACAATAAATCATTTGTGAAATGTGGAGACCATGATGTGTGCCTGTATTAGTCAGTTCTTATCAATGTTTTCCAAAGATTCATCTTTAGATTCTATGTTCTATTGCTCTTAAGAAAAAAAGCATTCCAGTTACCCTTTCCAGAGCCTTATTAACTGAAGATTTTATCTTTAATATTTTATGAATCTGTATTTTCAAATCCCTCTTTTTCACAACAATGAATCTATTTCTATTCAGAATATAATTCCTGCTCTTTGTTTCACTAAAATATATCACCTTACAGTTACTACCATTGAATTTTATCTGCTACTTACTAGCTGCATTTATTGTCAGACACCCTGAAAACATTGCTGACAAAACACGAAGGTGAGAAGTTATACTCAAAGTGCAGTGCCATTTGGGTAGGTCACAACTTAAACTCAGACTTGTCTCTGAATCAAAGGCCATGGATTGAAGCTTAAATGTGGTTTATTGAGGAAAAATCGTTAAACATACAATACAATGTTAACAACAGTAGTCAGATCAGCTGGGAATCCAGAGTTAGAAGAGCAGCTCTCCCACAAGACTGTCCTAGTTGCATGTCTGAAATCTATAGGGTCAGCCCTCAAAAGCTCTGCACACCGTTCATTAATTTCCAGCAGTATTAATCTTCAGTTTTATTTCATTTTGGATGTCTTGTCAGTGTCCCCTCTCTAGACACTGGTGGGGTTTCAATCCATTGATTGTTCTGCATTTCGAAAATCTTCCCCAGTCTCAGGGAGTTAATGGTTCTTTCAACTTCAATTGCTGATGAATAAAAAAAAAATTCTGGTTATAATGTGTTTGGATCTCAACATGGCCCATCACAGAATTATTGATCATTGGATATAAAACTATGTACAACCACAAACCTCAAATAACCTGAAAAGAAAGACTGGATGAACCTGGAATGAACTGTGCAAAAGTAACAATTATCTCTTTAAACAGTATTTTACAAACACCTTGTCAAGAATCTCCATTTTGGAATTACAGTACTGGTTAAAAATCAATTTCTGCCATGGCCCAGGGTGTTTACTTGATTTGATTTTGATTTATTATAGTCACATGTACCTAATTACAGTGAAAAGTTTTGTTTTGCAAGCAGTACAGGCAGATCGTAGCAAAAAAGGACACACAGATCATAGGGTGATCTGCATATTCTTTTCACCATGTTATCTATGCAAGTGAAATACCATGCAAGTGACACAGTGAATCACATGGAGTGAGCAATCAGGAAGTTTACGCCACTGATGTGACCATCGAGGATCAAAGGTTTTGTCACCACATTTAAAAGTCAGCTGGAAAATGCTTCCCTCTCTGCAAGCTAAGAGTTTCAGAGGGGCCTGTGTTGGTGTTCTCCCAATATTCCTGAAGGTGCTGTGGTAGACGAAACAGAAGCTTGTCCTGTCATTCAGTAATGCCACCTTGGAGATTCTGTTGGTTGTCATGCAGAAAAGAAAGGAGGCTGTCTTCCCAGATAATGGCACCAAGATGCTTCCCCCAACAGTGGACATAACCAGTGCATCTGAGTACAGTGCCAGAAAAAAATGATTGATCCACTGTTGCTGTGATTGAAGGTCAGTGGCACCACTTTCCTCTCTGATAGCTCATACTCGCAGGGGCATTATTCGGTCTAACTCTGCCACTGTACAGTGTCATGACTCACTGGTATAGTGCACTGGAAATCAAG